AAATATTTATGTGAAACTTAAAATAAACGATAATAATAAATTATGCTATAATAGGCTAAAATATAAGTTAATTAAGTAATTATGTTTATTTCTTTCAAGGAAGTGCTACTAAGGAACTCTTGTGTAGTATAATATACTTTGTCAATTAACAGCTTCATTAAGCGTTTCTTAAAAATAGTCATTGGCAAACTCTTTATATTATTAGGTATTTTGTTAAAAAATGTAGTGGCCATCCCAAAGACACTATTGCTAAAAAGTGTAGTTTTACTTTCCATCACACTATATCCCTTGTCTATAATTTCTATGCGAATTTCGTTCTATTATAGATTTAGGAAACACATGGTAATTATTTTTGACGAACACTGCAACTTCATAAATATACTAGCTGACCCAGCGAACTTCGTACCGCCCTAAAAAAATAGGGGTTGTCCAGCGAACAAAATTGTGAATCTAAACCATTCTCAGATCCCCTTGAACACACACAAAAAATTTCATCAAAATCGGTCCAGTCGTTTAAGAGAAGTTCAGTGACATACACACTCACAGAAGAATTATATATATAAAGATAAGGATGCTAATGACAAAATTTTCAACTGTTTAAAGACCCCTTCACAACTATCAGTAGACTTCAATTCCTCAATAGCCCTAATGCAATTAGTGTAGTGAGTGACCTCCTCCAAAATTTCAGGCTGCGACTGCGCCTGATAACAGTATAATGTTTCCTATTACTGAGATAAGACCTTATCAAATCATGTGCTATACCTCCTACACCGTATGAGTAAAGCTTGTCCAGTAGCCAATTGTGATCAATTGAACATGATCAAATGCGCTTGTCATGTCCATAAATATTGCACATAAATGTTGTCTTTGATGAACAGAATTAATATCAGACTGCAACAAGGGATAATAGCCATATTGGTGTTTTTAGCTCGTCGAAAACCATGTTGCGCTTTACAAAATATTTTATATTTCTCAAGAAATTGGTAAAGGTTGCCACAGATAGTTCTTCCAAATATCTTTGAGATAACATTTAATTATGCTATTGGTCTGTAGTGATTTATGTGGGTGTGTTCTCCTTTTTTATATATTTGCTTAACAATAGCATTTTTTAACGCATCAGAAAACACACCGGAATCGAACACCAAATTTATTACATGATTTAAGGGGGACGCTAAATATTTAGATTTTTTTTTTAAATTATGTTGGTTACCTATAATGCGAAGAGATGGCGCTGCCTTACAGCTTAAGAATGGCTAGAAGAATTTCGACGCGGTCCGTGAGGGCCGCGGTAGCATAATTTGTCAGTGCATTCGCCCGGATTGCGAAGGGTGCGGGTTCGAGTCCCGTCTGCTGCCTGGTCCGCGTGGATTTTTTTCTAGTTATATTTTCTTTAGATTTAAACATCAAGCAGTTAGTTACATGCTTTAAAAAAGAACTATTTAGAAAATTTCTTAACCACTATAGTAGGAATACCATCTATTCCAACACTGCGTCATTTTTAATGATTGTATGGCTTTAAGTACCACCTCGATTGTACTTTGAGGCATAAATATCGAATTAAATACATAATATATATAACTAAGGAAGATATCGCGGAAAAAACTAAAATATAGTAATACTTTAGTGCTTCAAAACGTAGGTATGTTATTTATATTTAAAACTCGGTCAATCATTATTTCTATGGGTAATTATCAAAAAAACACGCAGTTGTAGTGCCTAAGCTCATTAAAACTGCGAATATTATTTAGTTTACCCATTTAATGGTAAGGATAAAATGCTATTTAATGATATTGAGTAAATCTTACTTTAACATTAAAAATGTTTTTTTCGGTCGCTCCAGTAAAATGGGGGCCCCCATTTTCGCTGAAAGTGAGACTCGCCCGTGATACTCCGAGGTTCAGAACCACGAGAACGCATGAGGGCTTAAAATATACGGTATATGAAGGGCTTTATAAAGACGTAAAACATATTATGGAAAGGTCATAATCTTTTATTGGGAATCGAAACAGACTTTTATCGATCGAAAAATCGTGTGTTTTGATCACTGAAAATTTCCGATATCTCGAGGACGGGACCGAATTCCAAAAATATGAAAAAAAAGCACCATGGTTTTGAACCAAGGAACACTTTAGGTCATTACTCTTTTTTCAATATTGGTGACGGTTGAGGCTGTAGAGGTACCTCTAGCGTATTTATGAGAGATCAAAAGACGCGGAATTCGAAGAGCTTTAAGTTGATGTAAAAATATTTTGGGAATGTTGGTTTTTGATATATATTACTATTTTATTGAATAGTCTAACAGGTAGATTAATTTTTAATGCCCTTTCAAGTCGTGTACAGCACGAGATCTGTGTTTTTTTTGTCGACACCTTTCATACCTAAATAAACTATTTTAACTTGAAAGACGTCTGTTATTTATAAATGAAGCTGTTTGAAGACAGAAATATCAGTTTATTTTTAGCAGTTTTATAGTAAATGTGACCTTGAGGATTTCTCTCCTATAATGGTCTGCAGATATCAAAAGTTGATTCATCCATACGGTGACATTGACATGGATTGATTACCTAGCGCATTGACGTCCAATTCCATTAAAACAGTGTGTAACTGTTATTTAACATGGGAAATCTCTCTGCATTACGCGTATTTATAGTCCGAATTCGATTATAGTGTCATACTAGGGTGAGTATGTTGGATATCGCTTAAGGACAAAGAAGGTAAATTTATACGATAAAGCTTTTTTAATTACAGCAATGTTATTAAAATAAAGTTATGCCTATCTGTTTTTCTTTTATAATTACTTATTATAAGTTTTTTTTTAACAAAGATCTTTTGGACATTTAATCTATGAATTGTAATTTAACTCTTGATAATAATTGATTAAAATTTTGCGTGCTACTGCTTGCTTGTGTAATGTACTGCCTAAATGAAAATAAAAGCTAACTCTAAAACTATTAAGTATGGTCATAATTATAAGACAAACCTGCTCCTGGTAAAAAGGACAATGGCGAAAATTTTGTTGAAGTAAATCTTTAGCGTCTATAGATGTCATTATCAGAAATGTTAATAAAATAATCAAAAAAGATTTATTAAATAAGTCAGGATGGTTGTCTAAGTATGGAATTAAAAAATTAAAAAAAGGGAAACACAATTGACTATTTATTTTTTATTTTTATTGTGGCTTGGCATCCTGGATTTTGAGCCATTTATTTTTAGTGATTTTAGTGATAAAATCAACTTTAAATATGTTGTTCGTATGTTTTACATCGCTTTACGCTTAAAGTGTATTTAATTATCAGTCAAAAATATCGGGAAACATTATTTTTCAATATTATACTGAAACCATAATAAATAATCTCCTCAATACAAAAAGGGTATGGCGACAATTCTAACGCAAAAAACTATATCTGTCACTGTCATGCTTGTCATCGATCGAATTGTTGTTGATATTGCTAACATTATCGTTGCTTGTGCTTTAGGTGATATGCGTATTGCAACGATTTAATTTGGCGCAGTGATTTTTTTGTGATTTGTGTTTTTATGCGACTTGGACTGCATTTGGACTCTCGAAATCTTTCCTGTGACTGTTGAGTAGTGCTTGCCTAAGACTTCCGAATCTGATATTTCGGACTACTTCTTGCTGTGGATTTTGGACACGATTCCGTCCTATACTGTGGATTTTATTTCATTGTATCTACTATCTACGATATTGTGATCAAAGATATGGAATAAAAAATATATAAAAGAGTGTTTCATATTTAATTAATATCCCATCAGTACACTATTAGAAATCCTTTTTTATACTTTATTATTGCTGTGGTCGTTTTCAAATTGTTAAGTACTTCCTACAGCACAGACATTGTATTCGAACTAAATAACCCTGGTCTGTTTAATATTATTAAGTATTTTGACGCGGTTGGTCAGTAAGTACCTACGCCCACTGATCATACATTATAAAAACATTTTTTTTCGTCACTAATCTACGGGAACCGTATACTTTTATAGTTCCGTTCACGTATTTTTTATTTTTATATAATAATACTATTGTAAATACTTTAATAATTCGTTTTTGTATTACTTGGTATATACATAACCTCCAAAACTTCAAAGTTGAATATCTATAAATACAAACTTCCTATAATAATACGAAAAAAATAAGACGAATGAAATCGAGAATCTAAACTCTATTATTTAAGATGCAATTCATTTATAGACGCAAAAAAAAATTTCAACAAAAATTTGTTTGGGAGTTCGCCATTGTCCTTTGTACGTTGTATTTAGTTACAGTCCTTTAATGTCGTAACTGCGTAGACTCCAGATTTTTATTAAAAATTTAAGAAAGAAGTTCCTTACAGAGAAAAAAATGTAAGATTTTTTCGTCGCAGCCAACAGTTGGATCGTAGCGTATTGTGTGTAGTTAAGTATTTATACTAATGTTTATTTTTAAACTTCGTTCGAACTAAGTATTCGACTACACTAACATTAGCTTTTTGATGTTCATTTTTTCCATACAAAATAAGGTAATCAGGCCATGCATCACCACGCGAGCCCTATGCGGATTGAAGGATAAAAAGATTATAAATTTTGGTCACCCAATACGAGTTGTTTATCTTCCGGGATTGCCGATAGAATTTGCTATCAATCTCCTTCGTTGTTGCAAGCAAAAATCAGTTTTGCAGCTTATGATAATATGTACATAATTCGGTGTAATTCAATTGCTAGATCATTCGCTCAGGTAGTGAAGAATTCAATTAGATTTCAATTTGGCACGTGACATATATAATATTCTTTATATATAAATTTCTAAATTATAACAACAGCTTACAATTACTTAATGAAAATTGGTAAGTCATTTGGTTATTTTCTGATTGGACCTCATATTGTAACTAAAACTACGACAACTAAGTATTCTAGAAGGCTACTTAAATAAAAAAAATACAAACGTGTGTTCTACAAAAGCTTGTGTTTTAAGAAGGAATGTCCTGTTTTCCCCTCAAACATGGTGTACACACACGCGAGGTGTTACAAAGACGTCTACAAAGATATACGAGTAGCGACAACAAATTCAGTCCAGTCTGCGCGCGCGCACAAACTCGAGACTCGTGCGCCGAATACTCGCGAGTGTAAATCTTAAAAGCTGAGTGATAAATTGTTTTGTTTTGACGTAGCGGCTTAGGCGAAAGGTAAATTATAATTTTTAAGTGTTAGTTTTTGATAAAATATTTAAGAAGAAGTAGAAACTAAAAATATACACATAAGTTTATAATTTAAAATTGTTTGTGATGTTATTTTTATTTTATTTCACGCCCTACAATTTTTATGGGAATGTTTATCAAATTATTGTAGTTACTCTCATACAGTACAAACATACATTTACTCGACCGCTTAGAAACCGAGTCACCGGCTAGTACCTTGGAACTTTGATTTGATTTTCTCAAATAAGCATAAAATTTACAACATTCAAATTATATCCACAGAAAGTACTTTTCATAATTATTAAAATGATTAAAATTTTATTTTTAAGCACTGTCAACTTACTATGCAATCAAGCAAGAAAAAATGCTATTTGCTTATTTTTGAATAAAGTAGTGATCAACGTTCTTTTTAGGGTTCCGTAGATAAGAAACCCTTATAGTTGCGTCGTGTCCGTTTGTCTGTCCGCCCCCTGTTTTGCTTGGATACTATTAGCACTCAATCATGCTGAGAAAATGGTAGAACAAAATATTGAAAAATATTTACTCCCGTTCCTGGAGATGAATTTATTTTTTCCCTCCCTTAGGTATGGGTCATTAAAAATAACTTCGGGGTTCCTAAGTATTTCTTTTTATTTAGGGATCTATTTGCTAAATATTGAACTTTAAAGTGCAAATTTTTGTTCGTGCAGGGCGTCCCCCCTCCCCCTCGAAAAGCTAAACTATTAGCTTGAAAAACCTGGAAAATTCATGATAATAATGCTTTTCCTGAACTTTAAGGAAATTTATAAGGGTTAGAATAGATTTCTTAGTTTAAGAGTAATAGTCGTTCAGCTTATGTGTTAGAAAATTTCTGACCCAATGAAAAATCCTTAGAAGAAAACATTATTTATTTATTTATTAACATCAACAAAATTAACACCAACTCATTATAAAGTAACTTACAAACAATGTGGAAGCGAACTAAGTGCAATCTTAATTATAGATGTTACACAATAACACTGATAAGCAAAAATATCGCATAACAAAATCACACTACTTAAAAATCTTCTATTGATGTGAAATAATTAGTAGTAAAATAAAAAATAAAATATACTAAAATTAAAAACATTTCATTAAAATTATATCATTATTCGGTTAAACGTCACAAAATATTGTAATCATTAAAAAGTGACTTAGATGAAGTAATTTCTTAAAATATAGACTCCACAATATATTGTGGTGACGACGAGCAACTACGGAACCCTACACTGCGCGTGGCACGACACGCACTTGGCCGGTTTTTTTATAAAATAAAGAGTCTGATACTCCTCATGATTTAATTTTTGTCCATAATTTTCTCAGATGTGTGTTTTGCTGTTTTTTTACTACCGTTAAGAACAATTGGAAAACGACTGATCTGTGGAAAAATATTAATAAAAACAAAAAAAATATATTAATCTCAATAAATTCCTATTAATTTTAATCATCATGATACGCACTTTATGTAGGTATAACTTTGATAGTTGTAAGTTTTTTACTTTTTAAGATAAAGAAATCAGAATTCCGAGGTAGGAAGCGACACGATTTTTCTGCTGTCCAGTGTATTATTATACGCTGTCTCCATAGGGGGAGGTAGAGACCACTTTCCATTGCTTTTATCTGTTTTTTTTTTTGTTTTTCTATGTAAGTATTATGTATGCAAACAATATGTTCCAATCATTCCAACAGGTTTTCTATATTAAATAAATCATTATTGTATTGACGTTGTAACAACATAATGATTTGTAAATGTTGTTACATAAGACTTTTATATGTTGTGGAGTTTTTTTTGCTCGTTTTTCTCCGCAGCTAAAAATATGTCCATAGTGGTAGGGAAAAAAAATTCGACGATTCAAAAGAGTTGTATTATACATCCAATTTGAATAAAGATATATTGATTTCTGACCCAAACCTTAAATATTCATAATTTGTTTTTATGTTAGCCTTTGGACTTCATAATCGGTATGGAAAAGACAACGGTCAAAAAATTTATATAATTACTATCAATCGAATAAGTATAAGTAAGAGAGGCAATATACACATTCGGACATATATATCGGCCCACTTGGTGTTATAAGTTACAACGGTCTTTAGCAAAAATATAATTAAGATAGAATGAATAAATACAAAATATTTTGAAAACACACACGAAAAGATGGTATAGATCAGCTTCAAAGATGCGTTAAAACTTTTTGCTCAATGTAACATTTATTGAAGTGAAACTTCTTTACGCACGATTGACATGGGGGTAAGCTGGCGAATGCGTTACGCGTTAAGAAAAGTGTGTTCGGGCGAGGCAAACGGGAGTTGAGTGGGGGATATAAGCAAGATATATATACATATATATCTTGCTTATATATGGATATATATATGTTTACAATATATACATGTACGTACATATACATATTTCATTTACTAGCTATAAGAGAAAGAGAGAAAGAAAATGTGCGCGCACACTGCTTTCTCTTGCTTATCTTATACATATATAAAATTCTCGTGTCACCATGTTAGTTACCATACTCCTCCGAAACGGCTTGACCGATTTTTATGAAATTTTATATGTACATTCACTAGGTCTGAGAATCGGGTACTATCTATTTCTCATACCCCTAAGTGATAAGGGTTGTCCACCCCTAACATTTTATTTTTATTTTTTGAACAAAATTTATTTTTTTATAATGTTATATACATATATTAAAAACACATGTATTAAAAAATACATACAACCCAAAATTTCACCCTTTTACCACCAATCCTTATTTTTATGGCGGTACAAAGTTTGCTGGGTCAGCTAGTATATATATATCTATATATGTATACATATATACATATATATATGTATATATATACACATACATATATATATACAGATGGAGCTAAAGAAGTTTCACTTCAGTCATGTGGTCATAAGCGCACTCGTTTCTTTTAATTACTCGTAGCTTTTTGCTAACATTCCATTGTTATGATTGACAGAGCTATTGCTACTGCGCCGATGTTTGCTAGAAAAACCTGCCACTAAATAAATAATGATACTTGCGTACTTGAGAATGTGTAATTTCAATATATCAATATTATAAACTAGATACTAATAAGTACGTAGGTATAAACATACATAAATATTCAATACCTTAACTCATGTGCCTACTATATTTGAATATAAGTAAAGAGTACATCTTCCCATCTTTGTCAATTGTTTTAAGTCTAGCAGAGATGGCATCGGCTGTAATTAGGTTTTAAACTTGAATTTAAAAGTTTGGTGCAAGTGAAGGCTTAGAATTTGAAATTAGAAGTGTCAGAATAAACTTTAGTCAAAGGAAAAGTTTTAATAGAAAAAAATCCACACGGACCAGGCGGCAGACGGGACTGATGGCCGTGTCGAAATTTTCCTATCCTTAAGCTGCAAGGCAGCGCCATCTCTTCGCATTGTAGGTAACCCACAATGTCAAATGAATACTTTTTCAAGTATTAAACATTTGAAAACATTTTTTTCTATTAAAAAAATTCTTTACATTTAAACATCAAGCAGTTAAATGCTTAAAAAATATAATAACAACATAACTTTAGTCAAACTTAAAAGTGGTACTTCTCTGAATGCAGCCGTAAAAATCATCTCTCAACTGATAACTACACAGATACTTCAATTAAGCTTGAATAAAGTTGGCGCTGTCACATTCATTGCCTAAATTAATAACTTAAGAAAAAGCAAAAGAAGTAACTTAATGAAGCGCTGAATTTAAATGAAGTCCCTGACGGCGTTCATATTTAGGTATAACAGGCATATCAACATTCTAATTTCTTTCCAACGACCAACTTATCAATTATGGCAAAGGTCTTTATCAACTCATAATTTATAAAAATATTTTTAGATAATGAAAATTTATAAACAAGATAATATCATTATTACTAAATGGGACCACACATTTGAAGTTTAACTTCTTATCTTAAATAACCTAACATTAGGGAGTGCATTAGGCATAGGGGAATGGAACAGCGCACGCATTACTATAAAGGTCACAAGCATTTATATAAGGTGAAATTTAATGTTTTATTGAAACTTTGTGAGATTATTGGGTTACGTGTATATAGTAGGTATGCCTGATTTACTTATTTTTTATGTATTAATGTATAATTTGTGTATTTTTATGTCCATTCCTCCTTTTGAGTAGTTATTCATTTTAAACAAGCATACTTACATATCCAGTGAAAAACAACTAATAAATAAACCCTATATGTGTATCAGCCTTCGCTGAACTCGAGGTGAGAGGGTAACTCCCTCCAAGTTTCATGCTCGCCGTGAAGAGCTGCGCACGCATCCCACACACACACACACACATATTGAATTCATATATATATATATATATATATATATATATATATATATATATAATCACGCTCGTGTCGCATTTCCGTTTCATCATTTCCATAGGATTTTTCCATTTAGACCCCGTCCGAAAAGTCGTTTCGCTTCAAAAATCTGACCTTTACAACAAACAACGGTGCAGTGGAAGAAAGCTCATCTGCCACGTGGGCGGCCCGGGTTCGATTCCCAGCCGAGGAAGGATTTGTTAACTTTCCACTTTTCATAAGCCGGAGTAACATCAACTTCTAATAATTTTCCGTATAATTTCAATTAAATGCCTACGATCCGAAAAATATTGAGACGATGTAAAACACTAAAAATTTCACTTGCATCGTGGTCTCATATAACTAATGAATACGAGCATTTGTCCTCCAGTCATGGAAGTTTAATTTGTATTTCTATATATGTATATATATACATATATATTGGCAATAACACAAGCCTACAGTGCTAAGCTAATTGGTGTGTGTTTATTTTTTTATTTAGAGATTTTTCCCAAAAATCCGTGAATTTTGTTAATTATAAACAATTCTGAATCAAAATTTATTTATCCGTGACTATCTCAATTATTATGAATATCAATTCCTGTTATGCAAATGAGGAGCTCATT